TACATAAAAAACTGTATATTCTGGGAGATTCCTTGAAAATCATTGACCTTATGCACTCTTAGTAAAGCAAGGGTTAATACAAGGGCTTGTGGACAGAAAACGTAGACTTACAAATATACCAAATGACCACCGGAAAGAAAGAAATGTCATATTCAAAATGTTACTCCAAAAAATTTATCAGAGATAATATAAAGAAGAGAAAAAAGAGGGTAAAACCAGAGAATGACAAGAAGGAGGATGGCAAAATATGACCACGACATTATATAAAAATGGTACATCAGAGGCATTTCGAAAAAAACCCAAAATTATTTGGATTTGAACCACGTTAAAACCAACAAATCTAATTAAAAATAAGATAAATCAACTGAAAGATCCAATAAAAATGATGTTATTTACAAACAGATATCTTGTGCGGAGTGTCCGACTAAATATGGGGTCAAAAGTCCAGATCACTGAAATTGAGGGTGAATGAACATTTAACGCCTAACTAAAAGTCATCCATCAGGAATACATGTTTACAACAGTTTAGAAAAAAATTCGTGGGATTCAGCACAGCTGTCAGCAACCTGGAATATGACTCTGGACACATAGAAATGAATTAATAAAAAAGCTGTTTATATGAGTACAACTCCTAAAAGTGTGAATGAGAAACAAAACGATTTCAACAGTGGTGTGAACACGGGTAGTAATTTTGCTCGAAATATAACCAAAAACAAAAAACTTATCATTGTGTGTAAACTACTGAAATATAATTATAATTTATTTGATACGCTGTCAACCATTATCACACTTGAAGATGTTGCACAATAAGTAAATGACTAGCAGTAAAATAAGCTGAGAATTCTCCACTATTTTCACGAATAACTTTTCAGAGTAAAACTCTTCTTCATTGTCATCCAGGATTGAAAGTGAAACGTTTTCGATCAATTATTTATACTGCTTGTTCTTTATAAGTATTACATAATTTTTGTAAAGTTTTTCAGTCACTTCTGAACTATTAGTTTCTTGTGAGTCACATTTTTTTCGTGTGAACTGCAATTTTCTACTTTATAGAGCTGAAACTGTGTTCACTCAGTTGCTTTCTTCAAAATGGAATCACTTTTTAACTCTGTAAATAAATCTAAGGGATAAACCACCTAAGCAAGTAGTTACCTCCACAACAGCGAGTGAAACAGCGGTTACGAAAAGAAGCGAAAAGCGAACATGAAGGAGTATACAGCTCAGTTGTCGAACACATGTCTATTTCTGGTCAAGCATCATCAGCTGAAACTTCACCCAGAGTCATGTATAAAGTATGATCTAGCCGTTCAAGGGATTTCTCCTACATCATGTAGCCGAAGATATAGAGCAATCCATAAGTATAAACCTGTGCTTTGTGTTCAGAAACGTTTTATTCAGCCTCATTTACTCCCGTAGTCCTTGTGTCAGTTTCTGTTTTCCTAGATAGTTGTAAAAAATTCCTATATAGTCATGGTTAATTTTTCAAGTTTATTTTGGTAACCCATTTTCACTCCTTTGTTCTTTTTTTCTATCAGTTTTTTTCCAAATTATTAATAATAACTTAACTAATTAGTTGTCAACCTTCTTGATTGAGCAAGACTATACTCAGTTTCTCAAACATTGTTATCACTCACGCACTTTGATTTATTTTGTTGCTAAATGACAATACTCTAACTTCTGTTGTCAGTTAACAATGTATTTATTAGCCCTCCCAAGTAACCGTGCGGTTTTAGAGTGAAGTTACGAAGAGAGATCCTTTTGCTGACTTATGTGTTCTAAATCACGATTATTCCGCCAATTCAACTTACTAAGTCAAAACTGTCCAAAACATGGTGTTAACACAGATTTAATTTCACTGGTTCAAGTTTGGCAAGCCATTTCTCCGAAGAATGATAGCGTGAGTTCAGCATTACAGGTATGGGAGGCAAAGCCACCTAATTTTTATGAACTTTCGGAAGCCCACATAAACGAGAGGTGGATGATTTGGATGGCTTATTGTGTTCATGTATTCAGAGAACAATTATGGATTAATCCTTCCATTTTTTCAAAGTGTTGGACGTCTCTCTCAGTTCTTCCTATCATGATGTTTTACTATTTTATTTTCGTAGCAAAGAAGAAAATTCATTTCATTCAGTGTTATTGTTTTAGAGGAAATTTCTCCGCATACTATAATAACTGTCTTTTAAATGAAGTGACTAGCTGGAGCTATTTATAACTGTTCTTAAACAGCTGGATATTTGATGTAACACACAACGATGCCACCTAGAAACTGGACAACAATACAGATCACTGTTGACTCATCATAATCATATCACTCTGTTCACACAACCCCATAACTTGGTTTGTATACCCTTACTCCTTCCTGCTTTTCATTGCAGTCTTCCATGTGTTCGGGAAAGGCGGTTCATCATATCGGTTGCATGTATATGGCATTAATAGGGTAAATAAATAATCACCCCATTGTGTGATTACATGCGAGTGTACTCAGAGCAATACCCGAGCTTTTGCCTGCATTACCCAACGGGTTTAACCGTTGTAAATATGGTTAAATACCTGCGTTATAAAAATCAACTAAAGCTGACCTGCTAGTATGACCTATGTAATTGACTTCATGGCCATTAAGTGGTATTCCGTAAATTATATTATTTTCCTAATAAGTTCCATTGGGTTATTAGGCCGAGAAGATTTATCTGTGGATGAGTTTGTTGGTCTAAATACCACGCTTATTCCAGCCGTATTAAGAACCCTCCTTCCCTTATATGGCAGTATAATCCGGTTTTTAAATTCCTTATTACACGCATTATTTTCATTATGCAAATTACTGCTGTTTAGAATCTTATGAGTCTCAATATATTTTTGGAATTAAATATGGTTGATAGTTGTTCAACATTGTTTTTTCTTCATCCCTTAAATCCCATTACTTCCCTGGCTCCCGGATCAGCTATAAAAACATAGAGTTTTTATGAACGACTGAATTTAGTTTCCTTTTTAAAATCTTACGATTTATTTCCTCCTTGGATGGTTATTTAATGTAGACATCCTTCTCTTGGACGGAACAAATCAAACACGTTGAAGGTAACTAACCTCTCTGCCAGTTCAAAGACTTCCAATGGTCTCCGTTTTCGGCACGTTTATCCGTATTTTTCGTCATCATCTATGTTACCAGCTGCACAGAAACGCTAATTCTTCTTGAATAAGCACTCAACCAAATATCTTTTATATTATGATGAACAGAAGCCGTGCAAGTTTAAATACTCTCCTATTTAAGTAGAGTTTCTACAAACTGACCAATTTATTGAATCAGAAGTATATTTAGAAATGTAGGTTGGTTGAAACTTTCTTCCTCATATTTAAGACTTATGTGATTTTGTTCGTAGTTAAGTACATTCAGTAGACGAGTTGTAACTAGCCGACCCAAATGTCTAAGAAAACAAAAAAAAGGTAAAACCTCGATACACTGAGGTAGCGTATTATCAACCTCGTATATGGAAAAGTACTTAATTGATGTGAACCACAAGATTGACATCAAAACAGCTCTTAAGATTATCCATAAAAACAGTCAGGGATGCTTACTGAAATGCACAGATGCAATAGCTATCCATAAAAAAGGTCCCTCTTCCCCACCTAGGTATTTACAAAAACAGCATAATGCTCTTAACCTACGCTGGTATTTCTTTATCTAATTACATTACGAAAGGTAGCGTTAATTATTATCCTTAAGATTCTTAAGTCCCCTAACTGGCCTTTCACTTTTAACATAGACTGAATTAAGACCATGAAAGTTGGAAGAGTTGAACGAACGTTTTCTGTACTCAGAGATCTGTGTTCTCTGTTTCGATAGCCAAAACTTCAGCAATACAGATGAGTCGGGTACGTAGGCATTTCGGCAAATTACTTTTTGCCTTGTAGATGACTTTAAAAGCAGAGGCTATAGAGATAGGGCTGTTAAAACAGAAAAAACAGATCTCTATGTACAGAAAAGGTTCGTTCAGCCACTCCAACTTTCATGGTCTTAATCGCTCTATGCTAAAGTATGGTAATCCCTAATCATATTTTGGCTCTACCAATTTTTTTTCATTTTATCTGTTCAGTTTGTACACTCTTCCTTTATTCCGACAATTGTTACTATTACTATTCTCACTTAGACTGAAGTGATAAGTAAATATAAAATCAGACCGTTCGAAATGTATCGCTCATATATCGTATATGCTCACTCTCATTGCCGTTTTGTTTTGTTAACATTTGCTATAACAACCTTACAGGCTACAATTCTCCCAGGTTAAAATAAAAAGACGAGGACAATAAACAAGTACTTAGTATGGTTTTTCAAGAAAAGCAGGTGAGTTATGATAATTTTCTTTTCTGTGTGCCCATTTTAAATCGATTTCATCCAGGTTTGACCTTCGTATTTCCTGTATTTGTTGTGCTTAGACACAACGCTATCGATTTTCTGCATGAGTTTTATTAAGCTCAACTGCATGGAAATAACCGCTATTTGTGTTGTGTAACCACTGGTATCCACGTGTCTCAGTGACTGCATTAGCATATAGATTTCAGGTTACAAGCAAAGTGTGACAACTTAAACAAGGCATTTTCAGACGGCAATAATGATGTTACACCTAAATCTGTGACTTGGGAGCATTCGTGTTATATCTTTGAAAACTTATCCCACGTGACGCCACTACTGTTCCCCGTGAAGATTTATGCAATTAATTGCTAGCTGTCATATAAAACAGAAGACCAACAGATTTGTAGTTTGGTTTCAATTTCAATTTTAGCAAGTCAGATCAACAGAAGTATGCTTTCAAAATATTTTTCATAACAGTATTTAATAGAGTGTAACTCTGTAATTTCTCAATAACTCTTGTTTATACAAACGAAATGCTCATGTGCAAGTGAACACAAGGGAAAGAATTTGTCAAGTGAAACCTGAATAAATATGATATAAGATAAAACCACTTGTATAGTAAAATTCAATTAGAGCTTTTGATTTTCATCAGTTATGCTTCGGTGTTTGTCCACTGTTGATTTTTCTTTGATTTAAGAAATACCAGGATCAACCTTGAAAACAAGACAAAATATCAATAAGTACTAAAAACTATAAGTTATTAAAAATTATTTCGTCTGAAACTTATTATTCTCTGAATGCTGATGAAGAAGTCTTCATAATCATAAAGTGAACAGTTTCCAGTAACATCTCAACGAGGGATAAATGTGAATCCAGTTAATGAACAAATTACTTCTGAAGGCGAATGCACTGAATAAGTTTACCTGATCACACATCAGTCTATAAACGTATTTTTATAAACTTCTGTTTTCTGGATTCACCTTCGATATAATAGCAGCTCCTGCCACTGTCTATAAATTCCATATATTCATATTCTGTTTCGAAAAACTCTACCAACTGTCTTTCTAGTGGTTGGACTCTTAAAACCTGAACATTTATTACGATTTCCAAAAACAAATCAGATTTGTGAACAATCAGCTTGATATAAACTCACTACTTATGAGTATGTTTAGTTCTTACTTAAACAGAGCCATATGGCGTTATGGTAACTATCGTACTTGCACTATGATATTGCGCTATGAATTATATTGAAATGATCTGAGACAATATTAGGTTTGTCGCCTTAAGATTACACAGTTTGTGGTGTAAATTTACCATGATTTTCTTTAGGAACCCGAAATTTTCAGACCACCGTATTTGGTGGGTGTGAAACTACTACGAAATAACCCAAGGAAATAACTAGATTTTAGAGGATTTGAACTGGTTTTGCTCTCTGAACTAAGTGCAATCGAGCACACCACTAGTCCTATCCACTTTAGAAGTAAATTAATTCGATTTAAAAACGGAAAAAAATTGTATAAGTAAGCGAAAATGACAGAAAGTTATTTATTTTAATTATTTCTTCAGATAGGAAACGGCATGAGGCGTGAAAGGCACGCCTCAGTCCTGTTGAAATCAATTAGCAGCTAAGCGAAAGCATATTTAGAGTTAAAAATTTTAACAACATAAAATTAAGGCATTCTTAGTGATAACTTACAAATCAAATATAATTGCGACTGCTGTCATCGCACTGACAACAATGAATACTGTCTGAGGAAATATTGTCACGGTAGCAGCATAAATGGCTGGTAAGGCAGTCAGACTAATGAGTACACCAATTCGAGCAACAAATCCTCCGAAAGACTGAACCATTCCTGTGTAAAAGAAAGGCAACAATTCATACTGTTGTTAGGTTTTAGCTTTTAAAATTGATTAACAGTGTTTTGAAGGATGATACAAGTATGCATAAGATTTTGGCTGATTTGTCGTCAAAGCGTCTGTTTCATCCCTATCAATACTACTTCAATTTAATGATCATTGTATATCTGACCGTCTACATTACCTACTCATTAGTAAATACTTTGAAATGCTAAAAATAAACTTTCCGATCAGCTATATAAGAGGATTTTTTTAAACACTCCTCCTCTTGTATCACTTTTTTACGAAAAAAAACTGTAGAAAAGTTGTCTTTGTGAGTGGCATCGTATGATTATTATAAAAGTTTTTGTATTTGCCAATGAATGAAAAACAAGACGACATTTTTTGTGCTGATTAATGCTAATAGCTTCATCAAAGTATTATAATTTGATAGATACTTTGATGAAGCTATTAGCAGCATTAAATAGCAAAGCGTCAGCAAAAACAGTATCGTCTTGTTTTTTATTCATTGGCAAATACAAAAACCTTTTGTAGTAATGAATATCATATACTCGTCATCCTACTTTGTTCAAACAGTTAACACTGTTTGGATTTAAAAGATCTCAGTTCACACGAGAAACTTATATTTCAGCATGTCTCTTGAAGCCTCTGACTGTCAGAGTAAAAATATTTCAAAGATTTAATTCAGTATGAATGATGGCTATGAGCATTATTAATGTTAATAAGATCGAGTGATTTTGAGGAAATCTTAAAGAAAGGAATTGATTCCAGTCAAATTATGAAATTCACTTCAGTAAGTTTGAACATGGAAAAATGTAATTTAGATTGATTTCAGGAAGATAAACAATATGGTTTTATGTGAAGACGTACATTTCGGTAACCAGGGATAATAAGAGTAGTCATAACTTCAACTAACACGTAAGCATACAAAAAAAACAACTAAATATCATAAAATAAATCAGACTCAAAATTTACAGTCTACACACTTCAAGGTGAAGTTTCACCTTACTTTCCTTCAGAAAGCGAAATCATTCACATCACAATATGTTATCTGCTTGATATCTTAAATGGCGACCAATTAAGTAGGCAAATTGTGAATTTGATTTGATGTCTTACCACTCAGCTGAAGTGTTTAGCCAGATTTCGGAAGCTTTCAACCGACACTTAGCCGACTCGACCCTCGGTGCAGCGCCGACAATTTCCTCCCCGAAACAGGATAAACGGCCGTCCAGTGTGTTTAGATCAGTTTGACTTGTCTAGTTGGGCGCAAGCAGTTTCTATGTGTGATATCCACCTACTGATATCAGTCAATCAGTAGTATATCGCGTCGTGTATCACAAAGCAATCTAAGATCTCTCATGCTACGACAATGTGTAAATATACTGTATTCGGCGCCTAAGATTTTATTCATTCTGAATCAGACCAAGATGGCTTTTTATCCCACTAGCTGCTGCTTATAATGTCTCATTTTCAGAACCTGAAGTCTAAATGCTTTTAACATTAACCATCAGATCCATATCCCTGACACTTACTATGATCTACAGGTTTTTTTTAAAAAATATATTCGTTTAATGGTACAACCATTGACTGGATATTGGTTTTCAGGAGAACCGAACACACCTATCCCTGGCTCTTGTGAGACGAGACTGGCATGCAGTATCATCCTGTGGCGCAACCACTCCACAGCCCTCTCCTTTGGGGATAAAGCTATTAGCATTAAATAGCGAAAACCTCGCCTAGATTACTAGGTCACTAGTATTCCAGCCGGTCCCAAGCCCGGATAAAGAGGGAGGGTTGGGGCGTGGTGCTAGCAACTCCACCCCCAAAACTTAACCAAATTGCTACGAAAACTTCAACGCACAAATATATTTTAAATTCTAAAAATACAAACAATGGCCTTATTTTTCGCTGGAATCGGGGAAGTGAAATGACGCAGGCTGGTGAAAGCCTTCGGGAAGCCAGTCAGCCGATGTGCCTTCTTTCGATGAAAGCGAAAATAAGGATGGGGACGTGGAATGTTCGTACAATGTACGAAGCTGGGAAGGCTGCTCAGGTAGCCGCAGAAATGAGGAGATATAAAATAGAAGTGTTGGGAATCTGAGAGAGCAGATCGAACGGATGTGGAAGGAGCCAACTATCAACTGGAGAGACAATAATCTACTCCGGTCACCCAGAGGACAATCACGAGCACACCAAGGGAGTAGCCATCATGATGTCACCAACAGCAGCTAAAGCTCTCATGCAGTGGGAACCAATCTCCTCCAGGATAATGATAGCCAGGTTCAACTCAAAAGGAAAAAAGGTTACAATCACTCAATGCTACGCGCCTACAAACGTCTCAGAACATGAGAAGAAGAAGGATTTCTACAGTCAACTACAAACAGTAATGGACAACGTCCCAAAGAGCGATATCAAAATCCTGATGGGTGACATGAATGCGAAACTGGGAGGATACAATACAGAAAGAGAACTCACCATGGGTCGCGAGGCCCTCGGTGAAATGAACGAAAATGGTGAACTCTTCTCAAACTTCTGCGCCTTCAATGATTTGGTGATTGGTGGCAGTGTGTTCAAACACGGGGATATACACAAGGCAACATGGATTTCCCCAGATGGACACACAAAAGAAACCAGATAGACTTCATTTCAATCTCAAGGAAGTGGAGACGGAGCCTACTGGACACAAGAGCGAGGAGAGGAGCAGATGTGGGTTCAGACCACTATCTAGTACAAGGGACTTTCAAGGTGAAGCTGAAAGCCTCGAGGATAGCTGGGGATAGGCCACAATGCAAGTTCAACACTCAAAAAGTGAAGGACACAATCACACAGGACATTTTCACTGCAACTGTCAGAGCAAAGCAGGAAACACTACGTGGCACCACTGAGGAATCATCCGTGGAAGACCATTGGAACTCTCTGAAGGTGATTTTCACTGAAACGTGTTCAACGGTTTTAGGAAGAAAGAAGAAACAAGACAAGGAATGGCTCTCAACGGACACTTGGAAGCTAATAGAGGAGAGGAGAAAGGTGAAAGAGAAAATGATTCAATGCAAAGATGGACAAGAGAAGGAGACGCTGAACTCAACTTACACAGCACTGGACAAAGAAGTGAAGAAGAGTGCTTGGAAGGACAAAAGACAATTCTACGACAACCTGGCTACTGAAGCTGAGAAGGCAGCAGGCAAAAGGGACCTGAGGACGTCATATCAGATAACCAAGTCTCTTTCCGGGAAGAGACAAACACAAGTGAAACCTATAAAAGACAACCAAGGGAACCCAATTACCAAAGAAGAAAGACAGATTAAACAATGGGCGGGACACTTCAAAGGACTCTTGAACCGACCACCACCTGCAACCCGTCCAGAAATACCAACAACAGCACGTACACAACTGCAAGTTGACACCAATCCTCCAACGAAAACTGAAGTCTTGAATGCAATCCAGCTTCTGAAAGCCGGAAAAGCATCTGGACCAGATGGAATACCCGCGGAAGCACTGAAAGCGGACCCAGAAACGACAGCAGATATGTTGACTCCATTATTGCAAAAGATCTGGAAAGAGGGAAAGGTGCCTACTGACTGGAGGAAAGGTTACCTCGTGAAACTACCAAAGAAGGGCGACTTAGGCCTCACTCTGCAAGAACTGGCGAGGAATCATGCTCCTGTCGACGCCAAGTAAAATCCTGAGTCGCATCATCCTGGAGAGAATAAAGGACGCATTGGATACAGAACTCCGCCAACCAGAACAAGCTGGATTCAGGAAAGGCAAATCATGTTCCGACCAAATTGCAACTCTACGCAACATCATCGAACAAAGCATGGAATGGCAATCAAATCTCTACCTCAACTTCATAGACTTTGAGAAGGCCTTCGACAGCGTTGAACGCGAAGTAATTTGGAAACTACTCAAGTACTACGGTGTACCCCAAATATTCATCAACCTTATTCAACAACTGTACGACAACGGCACATGTCAAGTGATCCACAACGGAAAACTCAGCGAGGCGTTTGGAGTAAACACGAGAGTCAGACAAGCGTGCATATTATCACCAATGATATTCCTAATTGTCGTGGACTGCATTATGCGTCAGACAGTGGGAAACGAGAAGACAGGGATATCCTGGACCGACGTGAAGAACCTGGATTTCGCGCGTGGATGATTTATGTTTGATGTCACACAAAATCGAAGACTTACAAGCGAAAACCGACAAACTGGTCGAAGAAGCAGCAAAGACAGGACTCCAGGTGAACATAGAAAAGACGGAGGTTATGAAAATAACCAACCAACAACAACAACAACAGCAACATCCAGCGCCAATCACCATCAACGGGAGGGATTTGAAAGAGGTTACTTCATCCACTTATCTCGGGAGCATTGTCTCAACTAGAGGCAGGTGGAACGGACGAAGATGTCAAATCGAGAATCAGGAAGGCGAGAAACACATTCATCAACCTGAAACCAATCTGGAAATCTTCGTCACTCAGCATCAACAACAAAATTCGGATTTTCAACACAAACGTCAAGTCAGTCAGTTCTTCTATACGGATCAGAAACTTGGCGGGTCACAGAGAATGTTTTCAACAGCCTGTTGCAGACCTTTATCAACAACTGTCTTCGCTCTATACTGAAGATCAGATGGCCGGAAAGAATCAACAACAAGAAACTATGGGAACCATCAAAACAAGAACCAATCGCCCAACAAATATGCAAGAGAAAGTGGAGATGGATTAGACACTCGCTGAGGAGGCCGTTGGGTGACATCGCGCGTCAGGCCATAGTTCGAGTGGAACCCGAAAGGGAAGCGGCGAGTGGGACGTCCAAGGGTGACATGGACGAGATCGTGTGAAGAGGAGCTGAAACAATATGGACTAACATGGATGGAGGTGAAAAGTATAGCAGAAGACAGAAGCAAGTGGAGACGTGTAGTTGAAGCTCTATGTTCCTCTAGGAACCCAAGGGAACAATAATAATAATAATTAAATAGCGAAACGTCATT